CCCCCACGCCCACCCCTCTCCTACTAGACTAAAGGGGGTTCGAGCCTCACGGCCCTTTATGGGTTTTGAGTTGGTGTTTGGCGTTGTGAGAGGTGTGCATTAGTTAATTAGAGTTAGAGTTAGAGGGTAATATTCTGTTATAAAATAGATTAGATCCAGAGGTTGAGCTAGACTTTTTTGCTGTTCGTCATTTTGACTAATCCTTCATGATCAATTTTTACCCATCACTTCCTTTTTTAAATGATAATGACTAAACATTCATATGTGGTTATTGTCATGCAGTGGCGGCTGGTCAACAGGGGGCGCTAGAGCGCCGCCCCACCACTAGTTTTTGTATACAAAAAAATTAAAAATAAATAAAATAACTAAATAAAACATTACAAATGTTTCAAAAAATATATAGTATATATGTTTTATAAGTAAAATAAATAATTTAGAGTTATTGATGTGTAAACTTCCATTATACTCATGAGCTTTTTCGTGTTGAGTCACTTCTGGGTCACAAGTGGTTCGGCTCTTCAGAGTCCCGTAGACAAGTCCTTGTAAGATTTTGGACATGCGCAGTAAGTCCCCAGTGCAAAGGAARAGAGTGGCCTGTGTTCGCAGCGGACCTCCGAACACACACACACACATGGTAGTGGGTGGGTCCACCCGGTGTCGACGACTCGACGTCATAAGMCTGCAGGACAATACGAGGCAGATTTTGGAGAAAAACAAACAAGAAATGAAGGAGAAAACAACACTGTAAGTCTCTTATATGTAAACCTTTTCAAAGCAGAACATATGAGGAGAAACAAAGTGATGTAGTTTGGACTGAATAGGCCAGAAATAATACAAATTGAGCAAGAACGTGGTGTCGTTAGATTGTGTTGGTGTTCCCTTTATGTTTGAGCAGCATATATTATAAATAATGGTGAANCGTGTCACATCAGTGCTGTGGAGCGTTCACACAGGGTTCTGATGCAGGTCACATTTAAAATGTAATGTGAACGTTCACACAAAAAGATCGGATTTTTTCAAAAAATCGGAACTGAGCATTAAGACCTGCAGTATGAACGTAGCCTTTGACTTTGTGTATTTGAAGGATAGGCATGTCACAGACACTTTAAAGTGTTTATTTCATGAGATGGTCATTTTATGAAACTTTTTTCTGATTTGTGGTAAAATAAAACAAAACTGTGTATGGTTTAGTGTTGGGCCAACACATGGTTGACTGGTTGCACAGTACGCAACAAGAGACAAATATTTTGTGTAACAAAAATGGGGTTTGAGCTTTTTATTTAAAAAAATATTTATATATGAATTCTACTTCTATAATAAAAGAATAAAATCTGAAAACCAATGTTCTTTCATACTTCTAAAGACCATGAAAACACACTCACAAGTTTGTATTTCTATCCTTATTAGGACCACTCTTTGACTTCCATTCATTTCCACTAAACTCAATTCAAAAATACTTTCTTGATCCCAGAGGGAAATTAGATTTCTTTAGCCTAACCTTGACCCCTTACCCTAAACTTACCCCGACACATGCCCCCCCCACACACACACACATACACACACACACATACACAAAAAAAAAAAAAAAACCCTGACCCTAAACCTAACCCCCAAGCCAAAAACTGAGTTCCACCTTATCAGGATCAGTCTTTAGGACTACTGGTCCTGACAAGGTAAATGGTGAACCAGAAATGGTCATAAAAAGGTAACAAATACAAGTACACACACACACACACACACACACACGCACCTACAGTATGTGATAAAGTCAGACCAGGAAACACAGAAAGCCACAGAGCCAGCTCTGCCTGAATGACAGGTTGGGAATAATCCAAAAGAAGGTTGCATACAGGAGAAACATTCTTTCAGCAAAGTCACAATGAAGAAACGGTTTTTAAGACGTCTTTATCTCATCTGAAGTTAAACCAACAAACAGTCAACATCATCTGTTATGTTTGCAGAGAATKTTTCTGATCTATTCTGCGGTTGGAGGATGATGTAGTGACTGATGCAACAGTTTATCAGGTCAGCATCTAGACCATGTTCCTTTGTTGAACCAGAGAAACTCATCTGAATTTGGAGGTCAGTTACACTTTCAGCAGTGTGATGTGAAAGACCTTCCTCTGAGGTGTGTGTGTGTGTGTGTGTGTGTGTGTGTCTGTCTCACCGCAGGACGACACGGGGGAAATCTGCAGAGGGTACGAGTGGGAGGAGCTTACAGTCTGCTCCTCGTTCTCCGTCATCACCTCAATGGTCTGACAGACGTAGGGCAGCTGCTCACTGTTGATCAGGTGGTCCTCCACCGAGCTGTGAATCACTTCCCYTCGGACAAAAACTAAAATCACTCAACTGAAACGTGAGGAAGTGTTGGTGAAAGATTAATAAACGCACTGTTGTAATACCTGGACCACAGTCACCTATTGTAACCTCAATAAACTCCTCTTTGAGCATTTCCTGTTTGGCACAGTCAGCAGCTCCAGCATACATTTCAGAAAGAGACGGAGAAGCATCCTGAAGAGGAAATCAGAGAAGATCAGCCTGCACTGCTCAAACAGGAAGAGTATTCACACAAAGCTTTGTCATATTCGTTAAACTGTTTAGATTTCATATAAAAACATTAATTCACCTGACGTTTATAGTCTCTGTAAGTATTTAGATCTTATTTTTTATACATGGCGTTAACTAGCAGCTAGCTTGGAAACAAGCTGCACCACATGAGATAAGAAGTGTGTGATATCTGCAGCACTTCAGGCTCGTAAACACAAATACGCTGTAGAAATCCTGTGAAGTCCCGTTAAACATTAACCCATTCAGGCCTGTTCACCCTGAAGAGTCAACACTGAAGTCATCTGCTGATTTATGTCTTCATTTATATTGTTTCATTGGTTTGAAGGTTTCGATGAAACGTAAACTTCAACTCATTTCTCGTTTAAAGCAGGGGTTCTTAACCTTTTTGACCTCGGGGCCCAATTTAATGAACATAAAGTGACACAAGGACCAGTCAGACATTACAATGTATGGATCAAAATGATAATTATTATAAAGCTTGGTTTAATTTTTATTATATTTACATCATAACTAAACTATCATAACTAACAT